TGTGTGTGTGTGTGTGTGTGTTAAGCTCCTTAAAGCTGTATGTAGCCTGTTCAGTGTGCAGTCTCATGCCTGGCTCAGCTGACTCCACAGTGGGAGATATGCAGGCAGCAGCCAGGGCAGAGCAGAGCGAAGCAGAACAGGCTGACTGCTGGAGTCAGTGGCCCAGTAAAACCACAGCAGGGGGGATAAGAGCTCTGCCGGAGGGGGGGTGAGAGAGGTATGACTGTATCTCTATGTCTGCCTGTCTGTATATATGCAGCCCAGCCCAGAGGGGGTGGACGGAGCAGCGGTTGGTGGGGTTACGACTCCTTCTCTCCTCTCTCTGTTTTTATGCATTTTCTCCCTTGTTTCTCCCTTTGTACAAATGTCTTGTTTTTCAGTTGTTTCCACTACACGCGGCTTCATTCCTTTTTCATTATTTATCTCCCATCCGTCTGGCATATGAATGGAGGACACGATGGTGGTGGAGTCTGTTATCTTTAGTTTTCCAGTCCGTACCTGGCTGCCTCCGTCTACATGTTCCCACAGGGCTGCCTTTACACAAACAGAAACATCATACGCAGACGAGTTCCTGTTTTATTTGGCTGTTTTTTTTTTTTTTTGTAGGACCCAGGTCCAGGGTCGAACAGGTAGAGCTGCAGAGACAACATATTTTTTTATCTGACTGTGGATGAGTGAGTGGTTAATGAGAATACACACCTGTCTGGTTGTTCTCTTTCTCTGATGCATGGAGTTACTGCTATCAGGACAAAAAGAAGACTTACAATTAGGAGAAGGGACACATGGTCATGACTTTTCCCCACTCCTTGGCCTCCTTCCCAGCATGCACCACTGGCTCTAAGTCCAACAGCATTTTGTGCTGCTTTCCCTTTTTTGTGGGGCTTGAAATAAAAACAGTTTGACCACACGTTGACTGAGCTCTGACACTATTTGATGCAAAAAGTAAAGTTGTCTGCCTGCTGTCATCAGTACATTTTAGGATGCACTCAGGTTTATGTTTGCTATTGACAGCAGGTGCACTCAAATACCAGCTGGTGTTAAGCTGACAACTAAAACTTAGTTCAAGGCAAGTAGACAGAAAACTGCCAATATTGCTCATGCATATACATTTAAATAATATATTTAGTTATATCTAATATTTTTTGATGGGGTGCAATTACATAGAAAACACTAAAAAAGAGAATTAATGGACCAGCTTAAATGAACTGCTTCAACTGGTAGCATGCAATTGAATTAAATTTATCCAAATAAAGTTACCAAGTAATAGTAATATCCCCAAATCTGCTTAGATTATTTGGTTCCTTCTAAACTGCAGCAACTTAATTTTACAGAACATCAACTTAAAGCTTCCAAGTTTTCCAACTCAGGTATTTGTTTTACCCAAATATAAACGGTAAAACATGATCTCGTCATGAGATTTACTGTTTTCTTCTTCTATGCAGCAAAAAAAAAAAAACTAAAGAAAGGTGGATGTCAGACACACAGCGCAAAAGGTGCTGTGAACCTGATTTTTGCACTTTTTGCTGGAATCAAAATAGCAATTTAAGGTGATTTCAAGTTGATGGAATCCACTGAAGAAAACTGCCTTCATCAAAGCATAAAGATGAGTGGGATTTAGTCCAGACTGTACTTACTTTAACTACAGCTCCAGCACGAGTTTTACAGTGTAATTATAGTTGGTACTCAAATATTCATGATATTATACAGAACATAATATATGTATATGTACATTTCATTGGTTTATATCGAAAAGAACACAATAAAATGCATAATTCTCAGTTTACACCCTTTTTAAAAAAAAATACATTTATATATGTATATTTTTTACATGTATCAGAAAAATGCTTGTTATTCTAATCCTCACAGCTCCAGATGAAATCAGTCTAAATAATGTTTTTCAGTTTGGGTTTCACCTTAAAACAGCAGCACTGCTCCCTGTCATTATGCATATTTACATGCATTAAAAAAACAAAGAGACCTTTCTCTCTTTTCTTTTGTCTGCTCCTTTGTTCCTCTGCTACTGCTGTCCAGACACAATGGTGGTCTCCAGGCGCTGCATCCAGGAAAGTTTCTGTCAGCCAGCCTGCACCATGTGCACACAAACACTGGGGAAAAACACAGACAACAAGAGGACAAAAAGGGGAAAGAATTAAAGCTTTTTTTTTTTTTTAATGTGGAAGAGTTTCTTGAGTGGCCACTAGACTAAAAGACAGACAGAGAAAAAGAGGCAACATTCCCCAAAGGGAAGAACCTGCCAGACAGCTGCTCCAAAGAGGCGTTAATGCGTAAACAAATGGCAGACGAGTAAAAAGTGAAGTAATTAAAATGGAATAAAGTTGAATTAAAACGAGAGAAATTGCTAAATGTGTCAAGAAAAGATGGAGAAGCCAGTTAACTGATTTGGGGGAAACTTATCAAGAGAAGTTGGTTAAATAATTAAAAAATAATCTCATCCTTCAATTAGCCTCCATGTTTGGGATCCTCAGTCCGATATTGTTGTGTGCATAGTTGTTTGACTTTGAGAGGGCGGGACTCTATGGAGAGCGAAATGAACTAGGCGCGGCCAAAAGGAGCCCCATCCATCTATCACACGTGTAGACAAAGGGGGACTTCACAACACAAAGCTAGATGTGTCCTCTCAAACTTTTTTTTTTTTTTGCTCTCCCCGCGACGCACGGCAGCGCGCACCGAGCCAGCCGACCCCCGCAGGTGAGTTGTCTCCGGGCGGGATACTGCCTCCGCTTTCCACCCCCGGAGCGATTTTTCTGAATTTATTTCCAGTTAAAAGTTGCGGCTGTAGTTGGTGCGTCAGCGCTCAAACTTGAGCACAAAGCAAGAGGGAGAGGGAGAGAGACATAGAGAAAGCAAGGCAGCGGGGAGAGAGAGAGAGAGAGCGAGAGGAGCGGTCCCCTTTTCCTTTGTCTGATGCGGGGCTCTTTGAGGAGAGAACTTGAGGGGATGCTCAGACACGCATCTTCAGAACGCGCAATAACGCTCAACTTGTGCAAATTAGAATGAAGTGACAGCGCGCTTTCATGGAGGTGAGATGGAGTTTGCGCTGGTATTTTTTTTTGTCTCTTGGGGATGTTGCGACACACAAGACAAAGCAACTGGCTGTCAGAAGTTTGCGGAGGAAAGGACATTTTTTACGCACGCAGAGACAAAGACAAAGTGACTTGGCTCAGAACTAGTTCGTAAATAGTTTTTTTTTTTTTATTTTTTTTGTTGCGTTGTTTTGGTGACAGTGGTGTTCGCGGTTTTGGCGAAGTTGCTCCTGCACTGTGGGAATTCAGCACAATGCAATCAGGTGTAAAGTCTCCAAGTAACTAAACGGTGACACAGAATTAAACTTTTTTTTTTTTTTGCACGAGCAAGGAATGGTGTTTGGAGACAAAAAAATAGGGATTATGAGATGAAAACAAAATAGGTTCGTCTCGAAAATCTCCAAGAAACTTGTTCCAGTTTATTGGAATCAGATCAACAGGTATAAGTCGCTGCAGCTTCTTTGTTACTGTAAAGGCTCCTTTGTTCTCAGTCCATACAAAGAAAAGCAGCAGAAACGAGCGCAAATCCAGCAGGAAACAACTTTTATGGAACTCGTTCAATTAATTTCATGGGATTCAAAATATTTTCTTTTTGTTTGTTTTTCTTGTAATATTGCAAAGTTTTGAAAAAGAAAAGCTTTTATTTGCCTCTTTTACGTTGAAATTTACAACAAAAACCCCGCCAGAGCATCTCAGGATTCATAATTACTAACTCGAGGTTTATTCTAGAGTTTCATCTGGATTTTTGTCAGGTGATTACAACTTAAGGAATGAAGTTTACATGATTTTACAAAACTTTCTTTATCTTGTGAAGGTGTGGCCAAACAACTTGTTTGAATTTGCTGCATTCCACTGTACAGTAGCCCTGAAACTTTTCATTAAGCAGCATAGAAGAGCATTTACACTGAGATTGATTTGTAATGTGGAACTAAATTAGTTTTTCATTATGCAAAAAAAAAAGAAAATGTTAGTTTTTGACCTTTTTAAAACTAATTTCAAACTCTTACAGCTCACCAACTTATAGTGTTAGATGTGTTTTAGCATTTCAAATTACATTTAATTTTCTATTTCATTTTACAAGTTTTAAGCAAATTTGTTGTTGAATTGATAGAAAGTTTTGACTACAATGTTCTCTCTCTCTCTTTTTTTTTTTTCTTGATTTCTCTGGAAACTGTCCTTAGGTGGGATTTGAACACAGATTAACCAGCAAAGCATTTTCTCCCCCCTGTGCGAGGCTAAGGAAATAAAAATATGTGGAAATCACACGGAAGATGTACAGAGTCACCTATCAAGCGACTTTTAAGACGAAGAGGAGGATTAAGAGACTGTGCAGTTTTCTTTTGGAGAAGGTGAAGACTTATCTCATAAGGATTTAGACTTCAGCAGCAGCAGCAGCAGCAGTGCCAGTCGGATTGGCACACTTGGAAATCTAAAACTCATGGAGACACTTTGAGGATTATAAAAAATGTGTAGTAAGTCTCTCTACAAGACATGTCCCGGGCCAAAGTCCCTGGGATAGCAGGATATTGCATTTCTGATCCTCCTCGGCCCTTCGCATGGGTAGGTAATATTACTTTTTAGTGGGATGTGGGATTTGGCTCTTGATCAACCACTTGTTTGCAGGACTGGAAGAGCTGTACACACACTCACAAACAACATCCCATTTATTTTCAGCTAAATTAAATCGCCTCTGTACCGTAACATGAACGTAACCGCAGATAATAGAGTTGTCACACCTTATGTGGGATCAAAGGTTAAAAAGGGCAAACAGAATTAATCTGATGAAGGCCAACTTCAAAAATTACATCTTTAGAATTCCCAAATCAGTTTTCCACTGACATGAGCTACTTTGGCGATGTGATGGTTATGGACACGGAAACATTGTCCTCGCCTGTGGTTTTGTGAGCTGACGCCACAGCGTACAGTGTTGACTTTTTCACACTCTTCGTGCACTTGGATACACACTAGTTAATAAGTGCCGATAGAATCTCAATGAACGTCTGCAGTTTTTCAAGTTTGTGGCACAAGAACACTGGACTGTATAATAAAATAACTAAAAGCTGATATGATCACATGCAAATCTCTTTAGTTAAGCAGTTGTGCTGCTACTTCATCAGCTTTTAACTTTTGATTTAGGTGTATTTATATATACATGGCCCTGAATAGTCATAGATTATCACATGCAACATCGCTGTGTCCTGTTCAAAGTTTGTGATTCAGCAGGCTTGACTTTGAAAGCTTGCGCCTCATCCGAGTCTCTTTGGATTCGAGATGTTCTGTAATGTCAGCAGTTGTGTGAAGTGAGATCTGATCTGCGTATCGTTGCACCGTGATGCGCAGTCAGAGAAAATGTTTCTTCAAAACATTCAGTTCACTGAGGGGACAAGACGAGAGCGACTGTATCTCATGGTGGAGGAGGTGTGTTCGAACTGCGCCCGTCGCTGTCGCAGCAGTTAATTCAGACAAGGCTCAGAAAAGAGTCACAAGAAATGCAGGCGACCTTCTTAACCTGTACTTGCACTTCACTATTTATGAGTGTGAGGTAGGGAGAAAGCGAGATTCACTCCTTTCTCTCTCTTTGCAGCCCAACCTTTATCAGTGATGTCATTGAGAGCCAATGAGAGCGTACGACGGTACTTGTCAGCATCCAAGCTCCGCCTCCAGCCTCTTTGTGCATGGCAGCCCACATGGTCCTGCAGCATCACATTTTCACCATGCAATACTCTGCAGCAGAGAGAGGCACAGATATGAGGGATGTGGCTCTTGGCTATGTGCTCTGATGATAATCTACCATGTCTGCTCAGAAATTAGCTGTTTGTCACTGTAAGCATACAGAATGCGAGGAACAACTGAGCAATCAGGAGAGATTACAGTATTTTTTACCATAATTATCCGCCAAAAATACATCAGCCGTTTGAGATATTAAATTTAAACGACAACGCGAGAGCCCAAAGCCTAATACGGATGCTCTCTATTTCACCATTTACATGGCATTCAATTAATGTATGCTAAATTCTAGAAAGTAAATGATAAAAGATTACCTTGATATTTCCCTTAAATCAGCAAAAATTCCAATCAGTAGCTAAAAGAGCGTAATGGTACCTGACAGCATCTGGCAGCATAAGAACAAATTGCATGCACATGTCAACAGTGGAGCTGCAAGACTTAAAGAAAAGGGCATTTACTCGCCTCCTGCGGCTCTTGTGGCACAGACTCAGGGTCACAGCCTGGAAATGACTGGATCAGTGGGAATCGAGGTCAGTCAGCACAGTGACACACAGGTGGGACAGATATAGGTCAGTGGTGGAGTATGGGTGCTGATGAGTCATGCATCTACAGTAAGTAGGAGCAGGGGATCAGAGCGAGACAGTATGCACAGTGTTTTATCCCCACTATCCACCAGACACGCAGGAATCCCAACCTTAATTTCTGCTTAAGCTGCTCTTGAATATTTTTTTTTTCTGGCCCCGCTGCCGCATCTTGAATTTAACCGCACAATGTCTGCAATATCATCACTATCGCACATTTCGCTAATTTCGGTTGCAACCATGGGGGCTTTATTCGAGAATAATCATTTGAACTTTGGCTCTTTGATGTAGCGTGTAAGTGAATCTGATGTTCTTGCAGATTAAACACAACTCTACACCTGGAGCTCCACATCTAGCCTGCCCTCCTCTTCACCTGTGATACAGTGGATTACAAAGTGTGCAGATTCAATCCGGTACCCAGATAATGAACCTGTGAATAAAACAGAAACATCAGATGCGGCATAACTAATCATTATGACGGGGCCCGGCGCTGAGCTTTTAACAGGCATCGCACTGGCATGGTTCCTCTTACAATGCAGCACGCTCCACTGTGTGCAGCTTAATTACATTGCTTATCAGTAAATGCTATTATCAAGTACAGTGCGGTTTTTTCGTAGCATTTGCCATTTGGTGGACAATTTATGAGAGCATACGTTCTTTTGTACAGTGTCCCCCCTGTGGGAGCGACTAATCCACTGAGTTACATGGGACAACATTAACACAGCGGTCTGTGGCATCTTCCACTTCTGAAGTCTCAATATCCATCTAAGCTGGAATGCTCATTAAAACGGGGGATGGTTTAACATCCTCTCTTTCTTTTGCAGCATATGCACAACTAAATCTGTGTCATCATAATCTCTCATTCATCTGTATGTGCTGTCACAGGAACACAGAGTTCACTTGCTTTCTGGTGACGAAAGGCCACCAATCACATGTTGTCGTACCTTCGGCTCACTGATACCCATCCCACAGATATAAACACAGTTAAATCTGCATTATTCTCATCCAGTTATGTTACTGTAAGCTGGACTGATGTTATGCAAAGTGTATTAGACTAGAATACAACATTAGGCCCGGAGTAACTAATCGCTACCATAAGCCTAATTCTCTCAGACATCCTGTGGACAGCCTCAGGAAAGCTATCAGGTTTATTTTTACCACTCATTGCATGTAGCTCGTGGGCTCTGCAGCTCACAGTCCCCTCGCAGAAATCACTATAATACATGTATGTGTACACTAGTTGTATTTTCTGGTTCATCAAACCACAAAATGACAGCAAATACCAGTTAAGGTCCAATCTGTTTTCGCAGCATTTGATACTTGCACACGCAACATTTGACCCAGTGCTGTGCATGTTTACACTGTGCTTTTTCACAAAAAAAAAGAAAGATTTATACTATTTTTACCCTCCGATTTGTAATGTTTGATGTTCGGATACAAGCGCTGACAGATGGCCAAGTGAATTTTGAGTTGGATCTTCAAAGCGTAACAGCCGCTCAGACAGATTTTATATGTGTTATGTATTATGAAAAAAAAATGAATTGGTGGAGATGAGCAAAGTTGTCAAAAACAGCAGCAATAATAATCTTAATTTACCCCCCATCAGCTGAATTTAGGTTGACGCTCCTTTTGTGCACACGAGTGAGTCACACAGGACGCTCCACTGTGGGAACAGTACAGTGAATTACAGTGCAGTAAAACATTAGGCCCACCATTACTAATCATGACGACAGTCCTAATTCTCCAAGCTACAGGCATTCTGTGGTCATCCTGTTGCAAACTATCAGAGCTTAGTTTTACCACTCAGCGCCTGTAGCCGCGAGATAAGTTAACGTGCTCTGCTGGCATGCTAATACATACCAGCACTTGGGGACAGGAATAAATTATTTCTTTATGACTGCGCACAAGGCAGAGCGTTTGAAGGAGGGGAGAGAGGAAACATAGGGAGATGAAGCAGAAAGAAGAGGCATGGGGGTAAATGATGGGCAGGAAAGAAAGGAAGCAAGACAGGAAATATAAGGATGCAGATTGAGAGGGGAAAGAGCCGAGATGAAAAAGGCAAGAATAACACAGATAGTCAGCTTTATAGTGCTTTTTGTATCGGCTTCTCTTCCGTTTATAGTCTCACCATGACTGTGGTGAGAGAAGCATTCGTGAGTGGAATCGTCATTTTATTTTCAACTTTGAGACATATACAAGAGATAACTGGAAAGCTTTTCCTAGATAGGCAGCGTTTGAAGCTACGAGCTTAGCAACCACACAAGGTTTGTTTTGGGGGGAAAAAAAAAAACTGTACAGATGCATTTCACAGCTCTGACCTGAAAACTGCTCAGCCCCGAATCCACAAACATGTGACCTTTTGAGGGATTATGTCCTAGTTTTAAATACCCAAATCACGCAATGAGAAATAACTGGCAGATAATGTTAAAAATAGTGAAATTATCCTAAAACACGCTGCTTTTAGTGGAAAAGTGATGATGCAGAGGCAACATTTAATAGCCACTTTAGATCTCGTAGGAAAAAAATGTGTACTTGACTTTATGATGTCGATTGCTGTTTAGTTATTTTATGTTCGGGTTTAAATGTTAATGTCTTGTTTTGTGCCACATTGTGCGGCTATACTTTTATGCTGGCTGCACATTTGCCCTGTGGGATTTTAGCGAAGTCAAAACCAAACTGCAGAAAATTGCATGACAAATCAGTCGGAAAACACATAAAGGTAAGCGCCAAATCAAAATGCACCGGATGACGGCTCACGTGGCGTGTTGCGCAGCAGGTTTAACCGTCACTGAAGGTGTCGCTTCTGACTCCCTCTTTTCGTCCCAGCCCAGGTACGGATACAGGGACGCCATTTCCAATAGCAGCTTTAGCCAGTTGTCTGTCTGTCTATCACAGATCAACTTATTACCTCCATAAATGCACAGCATGTTGCTGTCTGGGGATGGACTGATAATCCCTCTAAAGACTGGGGTTTTATCAAAGCTAAATCTGCTCCACACACACACACACACACACACACACACACAAACACGGGGACAGACATGCATCAGGATAACCCACAAGGGAACACACACAGACACACATGTGACGATGGAGTCGGCTGGCAGAAACACAGACATACGTGTAAAGACTGGGATTTTATCACAGACAAATCTGTTATTGTCTGGTAGTTAGGAGATTATGAAGCAGCGATTTTATAGGCACTAACATACACATGTGTCATTAGAGGATGAACACTGAAGGTGCAGTGTA